TTTTTTGATGCCAAACGTGTTATTTTGGACCCTTCTACCACATCCAATAGGAATTTTGAAAAAAAAATCTGATACGCTGAGCATGTTTACTGGTTAGCAATTTTAATCAAAATCGTAGAATTTAAACTCGAGCTAGAAAGTACAAATCAAGTTGTTTTCAGATTTCCATACAAACTCTTAGGAAAAACTTCATTTGCAAGGAAAATTATTTTCCTGGACGAATTTCCAAAAAAAAAAAATATTATTCGTAGATTGGACTCAGGAATCCGAAAAAAATAGGTTTTATCTTGATAGCTACAACTTTGCTTGAGCTATGTCGTAAACATCCAAAAAACGAAACGATTTTAAATCTTGATATACATCAAGCAAAATAAATAAAAAGAGATAATTCATTCAATAATAATTAGAGGTAATAGGGACAGAGAGAACGGGGCACATACCGTTACCATTTTTTCACACTTTAGAATCACAATTTTATTTAATTTCTTTACATAAGCCAGGATTGAGCTGAATATAGTTTGTTGCCATTAAAGCCTACTTTCAAGTTTTTGTATTTATGTATTTTCTTACCATTTTGGTTAGCACCACACATGCGCGCTGGGAGGGTTTTCTGGTTTGACCCCCACCTGAGGCAAATTTTTCAAAATTTACCCCCAGGTAAATTTTTAGGAGATTTACCGGTTTGACCCCCCTCTGAGAATTTTTTTCTCAGATTTGCAATATAAATGTATAAAAAATAGCAAAAATACACTGATTTTGAAGTCAAACTTGAAAAATGTCGGCTCGCTTCGCTCGCCAACACTTAAACCAACACAACATTTTCTTGTTTCTCTCATGCAAAATTTGTATTTTAGTTTTGCATATAAATACCCACCTCTCCCCCCTTCGAGACCAAAGTCAATTTGACCCCCCCTGATCAAAAAACCGTGCGCATGTGTTTTTAGCACTTGTATGATATTTCCTCGCATTCCTTTTTAAATGTGGTTGATTTTCAATCAAAATTCGAGGATCAATATGTAGATCAGTAATGTGCGAGCTACATTTTACAGGGGGGGTAGATTTTTCAAAAACAAAAAATTCTCTAGCAAATCAACAAATTTTCGTTTTTTTTTGGAAGTCACTTTTTGAGGCGAAAATCCCTAGCAAATCGAAAGAATTTTCTCCGCGAAAAACCCTAGCAAATCGGAAAAAAATCTCTCGGAACCAAAAACCCTAAAGAATTCTCCTCAATTTTCTACATTGATGAGCTAAAAAAAAAAAGGTCTTCACTTTTTTCATGAAAAACCCTAGCAAATTCGAATAATTTTCGCGAAAAAAAATTTCTCATCCAAATCACAGGGACTTCGCACATTACTGATGTAGATTGAACGTGTTCGCATTATTTTGTATGTTTTCATAGTGATTCACAGAAATGGTTCATCATTTGTTTTTTAGAAGCTATTACAAACTTTTATGACGAATCTGATTCCAACGTTGAAATGGAAGACTAGCTCTCTTTTCATTTTTTTACCAAAAATAAGTTAAAATCGAATTAAAAAAAGATCAAAATAACATTAAATGACCAAAAGCAAATTCGACTATTAAATGCCATACGCAAAAATAAGAAACAAAATCACGTAAAAAATTCACAAAATCGAGGTGTATCACTCTGGCCCCAGTCTGCCCCAAATTTATCACTTCAAATTTTTGGCTCGTGGCGTAAGCCAATAATAAAAAAATCTAATTATGTAGAATTTTAGGGTTTTCAATCATAGCTGGGCAGACTGAAAAATTCAGGGGGGGGATTGGGGGGGTAATTTTCTCAAAAACTCCTAGCAAAATAGGAAAATTTCATCTATGATCCAAAAACCCTAGCAAAATGAGAAAAATTCTATCCAAAATCATGAATTTTGTAAAGGGGTAACGCAAAAATTTGTTGATTTTGTAAAGGGGTAACGCTAAAATTTGATGCCTCAGGAGGGGGTAATCCCCCCCCTCCCCCCCTGTCTGCCCAGCTATGTTTTCAATCCTCTTTCAAACGGTATTCAAAGTTTTCCAATATCTTTTCATTTGGCTAAAATATTCTCAATTAAAAAAGTGTATCAGTCCCCACCTCCCATAAGTACTATTAAAAAATGGTTTGATCAACAGTTAAAGAAATTCAAATTGTATCATACAAATATTATTATCACGTGGATACACCACAATAAATAGCTTGACAAATATTTATCAGACACTTCCATAATTCCAAAAAAGCAAAGATTTAAATTAACCAGGTTATTGAACTAATGTTTGAATGGTTGGATAATAACAATTTATTATTGAACATATAGAAATAAAACAAAGGAAAAGGAAGAAATTCATATAGCTGTATAGTACATACAAAATTAATAAATGGATTCAATTAAAATCTTTATTGCGATGGAACATTTTTGTGAACAAAATAATTCTTATCTCTTCGTGTCACAAAAAGATTGGCATCGTTTTTATGGCCAAGAAATGCTATAAATTCTCTGACTTTGAGCCATGAAAATAACAAAGTCTCTCGAACATTGTGAAAGTGACAAACAAATTTGAAAGAAGAATTTGGTGTAAAAAGTGAAAAATAAAATGAAGACCGATATGAAAACGGACGAATATAAAAAATTACCCGATGAAATTGTGATCACTGGTATATCGGGTCATTTGCCAGAGAGTTCAAACATCGAAGAATTCAAGGAAAATTTATTCAATGGCGTTGATATGGTAAACGATGAACCAAGACGTTGGCCACATGATTTATACGATTTACCAAATCGCATGGGAAAAGTTAAGGACGACGATTTGCAATGTTTCGATTATCAATTTTTTAATGTAAGTGAGAAGATGGCCGTGCACATGGATCCGCAAATGAGAATTCTACTTGAAGCAACCCACGAAGCGATCATCGATGCTGGTTTTAATCCACAAGAATTACGTGGATCTCGAACTGGTGTATATATTGGCGGAGGACATTCGGATACAAAAGAATATTGGCTGGCTGATACGGATCGTGCCACTGGATATGCGCTGATTGGATGTCATCGTTCCATGTTTGCCAATCGTATTTCGTATAGTTTTGATTTTAAGGGTCCAAGTTATGTGTGTGACACAGCTTGTTCAAGTTCATCGTTTGCACTGGCACAGGCATTTTTTGATTTAAAAGAAGGTCGTTGTGATTCAGCCATTGTGGCTGGAACCGTACTTCATATGAATCCAAGAATATCATTGCAGTTTAAACGTTTTGGCTTGTTGAACGTTGAAGGTAAATGTAAGGCATTTGACGAAAGTGGCAATGGATATGTGCGGTCCGAAGGTGTCGTTGTTATCTTTTTGCAAAAGCAAAGCCAAGCGCGTCGTGTTTATGCAACAGTTTTGAATATTCACACAAATACTGATGGTTTCAAAGAGCAAGGTATCACATTTCCAATTGGTGACATGCAAAATCGTATGATGCGTGAAACTTACGATGAAATTGGATTGCATCCACATGATGTTGTGTATGTTGAAGCTCACGGTACTGGTACCAAGGTCGGTGATCCAGAAGAAGTTAACTCAATCACTGATTTTTTCTGTAAAGATCGTAAAACACCATTGCTGATTGGCTCGGTCAAATCGAATATGGGACATTCAGAACCAGCATCGGGTGTATGCTCAATTGCTAAAGTTCTTTTGGCTATGGAGGCTGGTGTCATTCCAGGAAACTTGCATTACAATTCACCAAATCCAGAATTATACGGTATTATTGATGGCCGTGTTAAAGTTGTGGACCGTAACACACCATGGAGTGGCGGCATTATTGGTTTGAATTCATTTGGTTTCGGCGGGTCAAATGCTCATATAATCTTAAGATCGAATCAAAAACAAAAATCAATCGCACCATGTGACACAATTCCACGTTTGGCTGTTCTCTCCGGTCGTACCAGCGACGCTGTTGACCTCCTTTTGGATGAAATGGACAAAAACAAAAATGACGATGAATTCATCGGATTAGTCAATAAAATCCATTCAAAGAACATTCCATTGCATTACTCACGTGGTTATGCTGTTGTCGGTGGTGACATGACAACCGTTCGCGAAGTTAACGAAATTGTCGATTCCAGGCGACCGATCTGGTATATTTATTCGGGAATTGGATCTCAATGGGCTGGCATGGCGAACGATTTAATGCATTTGGAAGTATTCCGGAACACCATCAATCGGTGTGCGAATGCCTTGCGTCCAGAAGGCGTTGACTTGGTTAAAATTCTTACTGAGAGTGATGAATCAACATTCGATAACATTGTGAATACATTCGTTTCGATTACTGTTATTCAAGTTGCGCTCACCGATGTTTTGACCGATTTGGGAATCATACCAAATGGAATTATCGGCCACTCAGTCGGTGAACTGGGTTGTGCCTATGGTGATGGCTGCTTCACACCGGAACAAGCCGTTTTGACTGCATATTGGAGAGGACGCAGCATTTTGGAATCAGACTTGAAAAAGGGTATGATGGCTGCTATTGGTTTAACATGGGAACAAACAAAGGTAATATTTTTATTTTTGTTAAGTAATATTCAGAAAAGAAAGAAAGACATTCAACTAATTTCGAATTGTTTCTTAGGCTCGCGCTCCAGTCAATATTGTCGCCGCTTGTCACAACTGCAATGACAATGTCACCATTTCAGGAACACAAGAATCAATCACCAAATTTGTTGAGGAGCTCAAAAATGAAGGTGTATTTGCAAAGGCTGTCAATTCATCAGGCTATGCCTTCCACAGCAAATACATTGCTGATGCCGGACCAACATTTCGTAAATCATTGGAACACATCATTCCAAATCCAAAACCACGTACCTCACGTTGGCTTAGTAGTAAGTTTTATCCAAATGTGGATACGTTTCGGGCTATTGCTATCGTCCACGGAAATTCATGCATTTTTCTTATGATTTTCAGCAAGCATTCCAGAAGACAAATGGAATACACCAATTGCTCATCAAAGCTCACCGGCTTACCACGTAAACAATATGTTGTCGCCAGTCTTGTTCCACGAAGCCATTAAACGTATTCCAAAGAATGCAATCTGCATCGAAATTGCTCCCACTGGTTTATTGCAAGCCATTCTGAGACGGTCTATGGGCAGTGAATCCATAAATTTGAGTTTAATTAAACGTGGACACGAAAACAATCTGATTTTTTTCTTACAAAATGTTGGAAAGTAAGTTCCTTGTTTAATTAAAAAAAAAAAACTTTCTATTGGTACTCGTAGAAGATTTTCCACCTGGTATAAACATTTTCCATTTGCTTCAGATTGTATGCTGCTGGTGCCCAGCCGCAAGTGTTAAAATTGTACGCTCCTCTTTCATATCCAGTTAGTCGTGCAACACCAATGTTAAATTCGAAAATTGGATGGGATCACTCTCAACGCTTTATGGTTCCAAAATTCGGAGCCGAATGTAAGTTTTCTATTTATTCAAAATTTAAAGGAGTTCAACATGAGCAATTTGTAATACAATTTTAGCGACGTCGGGTGAAATTGTTGTCGAGGTAAATCTCATCAAAGACGAAGATGAATTTTTCGCTGGCCACATAATTGATGGTCGCAATTTGTTCCCAGCTACCGGATACATCGTTATGGCGTGGCGTACATTCGTCAAGACAAAGAACACTTCAATCGAAAAGACACCAATCGTTCTAGAAGATATCGTTTTTCATCGGGTTACCATCTTGCCCAAAGAAAGTTCCATCAAATTCAATATCAATTTCTTCGATAAAACGAAACGGTTCGAAATCTCTGAAGGGGATTCATTGGCTGTATCAGGCAAAATTTATATACCCGAAGATATTGAATTGGAGCAATTGACATTGAAACCACCCGAATTAGACAAATCAAAATTGGGTCTACCGTTAAAACGGAACGATATCTACAAGGAACTGCGTCTACGTGGCTATGATTTTGGTGATAAATTCCGTGGCCTTATCGAATCCGATTCGAGTGGAACTATTGGAAAATTGCAATGGCAAAATAATTGGGTCACATTCATCGATGCTGCTATGCAATTTTGTGGTTTGGGTAAAAACCGAAAAATGGCTTTACCAACACGCATCGAACGTGTTATCATCAATCCAAGCAAACACTTTGAAATGCTTGAACGTTTGAAACAACACAAAGCCCACATTCCAGTCTATACCTACAGTGACATTGATGTAACCAAATCCGGCGGTGTTGAAATACGTGGCTTAAAAACAAAAATAGCACAACGTCGGTCGGGCACACATGCGTCACCGATTTTAGAACGTTATGAATATGTTCCGATGAAAAATACCGACCAAGATTTGTCAAAGAATACCGAACGTGCTCGTTTTCATGCCGTTTCGGTTGCAACTCATTTGGCCATTGAAAACAATGGAGGTGCATTGAAAATTAAAGTGGCTGATATTGTCGAAAGTAAGACCGTAAATACTGTTGCACAAACCATTCAAGCCATCATTGAATATGAACCGATATTGGTCAGTGATATTACAATTGTGAAAAATCAACTGACCGAATCATACGAACAAGCAGCTGGAGAAGCAAACATTCGTGTTATTGCTAAAGATCCAAGCACTGGCACAGTCGAATCAAACTGTCACATGGTCGTTGCTTACGATGTTGTTCCACGTGTTAACGCCAATATCATTTTGAATAATCTTAAATCGTCGATCCGTGAAAATGGATTCATTTTGCTTGAGGAAGATATTGTTGGTTATGACGAAGTCACTGCAAATAAATTATTTACCAGTTTGAATTTGGCAATTGTGTCATTTCAACGTGCTATCAACAAATACTTTATTTTACTTCGTTCAATCATCGATATTGCCAGTCGAAATAAGACCGTTGTCATGATCACCGAAAAGAATTATTCATACATTGAAGAATTGCAAGCAGCTATGGCGAACGCTAAAAAGGACAACACTTATGTGTACATTGTTGGACACGGTGAAGAGCTATTGGGTGCCGTTGGCTTCATGAATTGTATTAAGAATGAAGATGGCGGTAAATTTGCACGTTTGGTATTCGTTCCAGATGCAAAAGCTGAACAGTTCTCATTCACAAGCCAAATGTATGCCGAACAATTGATCAAAGACTTGATCATAAATGTGTACAAGAATGGTGGCTGGGGAACATACAGACATTTGAAATTGGATGTACAAGGTGAAGTTTCACATTTGCCCGTCCAGCATGCTTACGTGAACGCTTTGACCAAAGGAGATTTATCAAGTTTGTCATGGATTGAAAGCCCATTAAGCCGTCAATTGCCTGATCCAAAAGACAAACGCGTTGAATTGTGCTCCGTATACTATGCACCAATCAATTTCCGTGACGTTATGTTGAGCTCTGGAAAATTGTCTGCCGATTCATTGCCCGGTGATTTGGCTACACAAGATTGTATCTTGGGTTTGGAATTCTCTGGACGTGACTCAAAGGGAAAACGTAAGTAGTAAATTTTTTCTAATCTTATTTATAAAAAAACACACAAAGCTAATGAATATTATCATTTTCAAATGACAGGTATTATGGCTATGGTTCAAGCAAAATCGCTTGCTACAACTTGTGTCGCTCAAAGCAACATGATTTGGGAAATTCCAAGCAACTGGACTATGGAACAAGCTTCAACTGTTCCATGTGTTTACTCAACTGTCTACTATGCTTTGGTCGTCCGCGGTAAAATGAAGAAGGGTGAATCGATTTTAATTCATGCTGGTAGCGGTGGTGTTGGTCAAGCGGCAATCAATGTTGCTTTGCATCACGGACTCACCGTTTACACAACAGTTGGTAGCAAAGAGAAACGGGAATTCTTAAAAAAGACCTTCCCACAATTGACTGACGCTCACATTGGAAATTCACGTGACACATCATTCGAACAACTCATTATGCGTGCCACCAAAGGAAAGGGTGTAGATTTGGTTTTAAACTCACTTGCCGAAGAGAAACTTCAAGCGTCTGTTCGTTGCTTGGGTCGCAACGGCCGATTCTTGGAGATCGGAAAGTTTGATTTGAACAATAATTCACCGTTGGGCATGGCTGCATTATTGAAGAACACCTCGTTCCATGGTATTTTATTGGACAGCGTCATGGAAGGTGATGATGAGATAATTGATACCGTTGTCGGTTTGGTTACTGAAGGTATTAAGAATGATGTCGTTCGTCCATTGCAAACAACTGTATTTAACGTCAACCAAATCGAGCAAGCGTTTCGTTTCATGGCCAGCGGCAAACACATTGGTAAAGTTGTAATCAAGGTTCGTGATGAAGAATCAAAAAAAATAATGAAACCAGCACCAACATTTATTTCGGCCATCCCAAGAACATACATGTACAGCGATAAATCGTACATCATTGTCGGTGGCTTGGGTGGTTTCGGATTGGAATTGGCCAACTGGATGGTTACACGTGGTGCCACCAAATTGGTGTTAACATCACGAAGCGGTGTTAAGACTGGTTATCAATCGTTGATGATTCGTCGCTGGAACGAGAAGGGTGTTCAAGTTTCGGTTGATACAAATGATGTGAGCACATTGAAGGGTACACAAAATTTAATCAATGCAGCCAATAAATTGGGACCAGTCGGCGGTATTTTCAATCTTGCCGCTGTATTGCGTGATGACATTTTTAAATATCAAACTGAGTACGATTTTCAAGATGTTTGCGAAGCAAAAGTAGATGGCACCAAGCATTTGGATGATGTTTCACATGACTCGTGCCCTGTACTGGATTATTTTGTTTGTTTTTCGAGTATAGCAAGTGGTCGTGGTAATATCGGCCAATCTAACTACGGTTTGGCCAACTCGGCCATGGAACGTATCTGTGAAAATCGTCAAGCATCTGGTTTGCCAGGCACAGCCATTCAATGGGGAGCGATCGGTGATACAGGTTTGATTGAAACTTTGGGTGATAATGAGACTGTTGTCGGGGGTACGTCGCCCCAGCGTATGCTCTCATGCTTGCAAACAATGGATATCTTCATGCAACAACCACACCCCGTGCTTGCTTCAATGGTCATTGCAGGAAAACTTAAGTGCGAAAGCAGCGAATTCAGTTTGGTGAGCTGTGTTGCCAACATTTTGGGTTCGAAAAATGTCAAAAATATACCAGATCAAACAACATTAGCCGATTTGGGCATGGATTCATTGATGTCTGCTGAAATTAAACAAACATTGGAACGCAACTATGATATTGTGATGAGCGCACCCGAAATTCGCCAATTGACATTCGGAAAACTGAAAACATTGGGTAAGTTGAATTGATTTTTTTACGTTGAATATTTTTATTGGAGAGAATTATATAAACATTCAATTTGTTTTATATTTTCAGAACTGAAATAGGAACTCAATTTCTCAGCTAGCAAAATAAAAGACAGATAGACAATATTGGTATCATTGAATCTCTTGTTCAGTACACAATTATGTGTTTTTACGTCTTTAAATATATTTTAAAAAATCCTAAATATTTTCTGAAAGAAAAGACTAATAGTTTAGTCAAAACTTAACCAAATAATTATAAATAACAATTTGTATTCAGAAATTCTATTAAATGCCCTTTAGTGCCGAGTTAACTAAGTGAATTTTTTTTTTTTTTTTTAAATAAGAGAAAATCTTAAAATTGCCTTAACCCTTCTCAACTTGGTGTAAGTGTTTTGGATAAATTGTTAATGTTCTTTTAACAATAATTTATTTAACCCTCCTATTTCGCACTATGTTTTGTTCACAGCTCTTGCCTATTTTTATTGTTGTTGAATACACCGAGAGAAATATTTGAGTAAGGTAACTCGCAATAAGTTACGCACTCTATTTTTGGTGTTAATTTCATCCAAGTGAACACATCGTGCGAGTCTTCTATATAGCGCGTACCGTATACACAGTATCATACACAAACGACGAAACACCGCTGAAATTTAATTATCTTTGTCATAACTCGTAGATGACATTTTTCGCATATTTTTCTGAAATATACGTCAATGCGCTTTAATAAGTTGTTTTTTGTCAAATTTTCATGAAAATATTTAAAGAGGTTTTGAATGCTTAAAGAATACCCATTGAATGTAATTTGCTTGAAACAAAAATAAATTTGTTTACAAATTACGTCAATAGCATTTAATAGATTTTTTATGTTTTGGCGGTGAATAAATATTATTATTATTAATTAGAATTTGTTGTGACTCAATGGAAATAATAAAGATGTGTCTTAGTTTACGAAATCGCTATAAATTTGAGGCTTTTTCAATACAAGAGGTTAGAGAGAAGCAGAAGAAAGACAAAACTAACGTGACAATGACAAAGCTATTGATAACTTTGAGTTTTTTATTTGTGGTGAATGAAGATCGTCTTTCTAAGAGTCCGGTCATTTGATTCTATTTCATTTAAATTAATTATTTCATCAATTTTCGCTTCTAAATAGGCTCCAGCAATCGGTATGTACGTACAGTATATTTTGATTTAAAAAATGATTTTGTTCGCCAACTCCTAACGGCAAAGGATTCAAATTCATTTGGTTTTGCTCATCAAAATGCACTTTCATGTTTCGTAGAAGGGAAAAATATATACTCGAATTTGTTTTTTTACATTTTTTCTGAAATGACGGAATTTCCCACTCGGAAAGATTACTTAAAAATGTTACGAATAAATAAAATCTGAAAAAAATTTGATCACCTGCGATTCCGTTATTCGCCGCTTTTACTATATATCTCATAAGTTACGTTTGAACATTGCTATCATTCATAATTTTAAATATATTTTCAGTTTTCGGGGCATAAGCATATGGTGTCAGTAATAAGATAATATTGCCCAATTACAATCCTGAAAGTTCTAAATTCAAAAAATCTCTTGAATATTTGGAAAATAACGACTATACTAAAACGTATGTCAACTTTTAAATTAACTATTAAGTTGAACTATTAAACAGAGACAAGTAACATACATATATATTGATTCGAATAGATTTTTAGAAGTTCAATGTTTTTATTTGGGTCCTTCACAATTGTAAGCGAAAACTTGTGAAAAGTCTTTATTAAAAAGACAGTAAATTAAAATGAGTTTATATTTATTCAGTAATTTAGATACCATCGTTGTTACCATTCAAAATACATCAATGCATATTGTAACAAGCCAAAAAAAGCCCATCGTTACACCACGTAAGTTGATAAGTTGATAAATTAACGAACAAACAAACAATTCAACTCATATATCATTTCCTGCAATTACACGAACCCTTTTTATAACTGCGCGATCGAACTTAGTCAAATGTACAATCAGTAAGATCGAATAAAATTCATTTTCTAAATGGTTCAGTTTTTGAATCAAATTTATTTTTTAAAGCGCTTCAGCCGACAATAAGATTGTGATTGAACATGTTTATCAGGATTTGGTGACTGCCTTGGCTATCATTTATATGGACTTCATAAAATGAGATGGAGAAATTGTGGCCAATTAAATCTCAAATTCTTTAAATTGAAACGATTTTCTTTGTGAATAAACGACCAATTTCCATTTGATTTGTTTCTTTTTCCAAATTGAAATAAAAATAATGAAAACAAAAAAAAAAACAATATCGCTTAGCTTCATTCAGTGGAATTACGCGAACAGACACAATGTTAGATAATGTGCATGAATAGTTTAACCCAAGCCCTCTAGATATTTTTCAGAGTTAACTGGGCGATTTTGCTTAACCGGCGACGATACTCTCAAGAATTCGGACGAAAAAACTTCAATCCGGTGTTTTATCATCTGATTTTTTGACCGTGTTCTGACGAGAGGTCGGATTTTTCGAATATTTCGGAGGTTCGGTATCATGGGCGCCCGAAACCGAATAGCCCGAAATCGAGTGTTTTTTGGAAATTATTTGGAAAATCTCGCGAAAAACAGAAAAGAATAAAGAGGCTTACGTACGAAATTTTGGGAATAAACTGAAATTATGGTCTATGTATGGTTGCAGTAACTTAAATCACCGTGAAAACGTGAATATTATTTTCTTATCAAAATGAATAATCACACCAAGTTTAAAGGAATTCCAATAAAAAAAAAATAACCTGTTCAAAGTTTCACATCATTACGGTGGTGGTATTTCACCAGGGGGACATCTACGACAGAATTTTTTGTAACCTATCCAGAAAATTAGTGCCCAATTAGTGCCCGCGATTGGACATATTTTTCCGTCATCCCCTATTAAGGGGGTGGGTTTTCGGGCATCGACTTTTTTAGGGGTTGAAAAATTCATCCCTTTTCGATGCCAAAAATTAGTGCCCAATTAGTGCCTACGATTGGTACCTTTGGTCAGCACTAACGATTTTTCCTACCCAAGTTACAGCTATTTATTT